GGAACCGGCTTTAATGATGAGATGCGCTTGACAATCGCATGCAATTAATTGCACAGCCCTAGTCTTAATCCATTTACATTTATTATGTTTTTGCTTTAACATTCAAGCCACTCGTATAGGTAGAGACTCTCTTGACTGATTATGACATAATGTGCATCTTGTCTCATGCTGTAAAGACGTTGTATGGTAAATTTGACTGAATGTGCTTCTTGTGTTTTCCAGTGGCTGTCAAAGGCGCTGCAGGAAAATCCCGTGAGGAGCTGACTCTGGAGAAGAAGAGAGAGCTGGAGAAACGACTGCAGGACGTCAGCGGCCAGCTCAACTCTGCCAAGAAACCACAGAAAACCAAAGGTAGGGGTCATTTAGATGTTTCTAAATGATTCCGGTTAATCGAGACACACTGAATAACACGTCTCTGTTTCTGTTTCAGTGGAGAAGCCCACTGGGGTGGAGGCTCATGCCATGGCGTCTCGTCTCAGCGCCAGCAGCTCCAGCTCCGACTCCTCCTCCTCATCCTCCTCTTCCTCCTCCTCTGACACCAGTGACTCGGACTGAAAGAACGGACATCAAATAAAACATGCGCTCCATCTCACAATAGAATAGAGTTCTGCTCTTAGTAACAGTAACTAATGAGGTGTTTAAAGAAGAGCAGTGTTTCTCTTTAGATGTGTAGAAGCAGGTCAGAGAGAATTCTGGGAAATGTTGGACGGAGAAGGAACTGACGGAAAAAGCAGACCAGGGCATCGTCCTTTCTGTTAGTCCATCCTTCTTTACTTTGTGTATATACATGTACAAAGACATATAAATATCTATTTTTCTTTTATAAAGAAGAATTTTAAGCAAATCCCTGGTAGGGAAGAAAACTAAAATCTGACTTTTTCTTTTGTAAATATTTTGTTGCTTTTTTTTCACACTCTCTCCCTCTTTTCGTTTGACCTTTTAGTAGTTGGTCCTTAAGAAAACAAAAGGCTTGGAGTGGAAACTGCTGTCGCTTTTGTTTGCATGAGCGAGTGTGATGTGTGCCATTGAATCCCGTGGTTTCCTATTTACACACTGCACATACACGGATGTGTTGGCGCTTGGTTGTGCATTTGAATGAAAAGAACAAAGCTCCACCTGTTCAGATGGCATCTGTGCACCCAGAAGTTATGAGAACAGGGAGTTACGTCACCCGTCTCTGTCCGATGGGCGAGATCTTGGCTTTAGTGGCGTGTTTAAACTTGAATCTGATAACTCTCCATCCAGCCTGCTTTATTCCCATGGTCAAATGAATGAGTTCAAATCTCCAGTGTTTTATATACAAACATGCAGAATCTTGCTCTTTGAATTCAGCTGGGCCACATGAGCATTTATTATTTTTGGATGCATAAATTATTTTTATGTTCATGTGGTTTCGGTCACGATTTCTAGAGCATAACAGAGTCTTAGATGCACTATGAGAGGTACACAGCTGCTTAATTAGGTGTTGATGTGAATACTGTTTGTAAATCTTGGGTTTTTGAGTTTTAGTCTTGTTTTAGTGTGTTTATTCATATTCGCCCAGAGAGTTAATGCACAATTTATGGTTTTAACAAAGTGACCCTCATATTTAGAAATTAAATACTTGGAAATATAGTTTCAGTTTCATAACACGACAATAACAACCCAATTTGACGCTTGTATTTTTTTTCTTCCAAAATGTGTACATATGTAACAGTTTCATGACCTCGCAGCTTGCATCTGTCAATATGACCTGATTTCTGTTTCCTGCATTATTTTATTCTTTGTTTACTACTGTCCTCAGCTCTTCTCTTTAGTATTGTGGCTGTTTTTTTTTAAGAAGACAACAGCAAAACATAACCATGAAATGAAACCTCAAGCTGTAAGCATCATCTCAACCGATGCTTCATGCGATCATTATTCTCATCTGAAAAATGTCACGTTAATAAAGAGGGTGAGATGTCCTTAAAACAAACTTGCGGCTCTGTGT